GCCATCGTCAGGCTGCTGGGGTAAGAGGGAAAGCTGGGGAGTCAACCCTGGGATGAGGTGTCATGGGCACAGGGTCAAATGAGAGGAAAACTCAGAAGGGGAACACCTGGGTGCCCTTCTACACAGTCCTATCCTCTTCTAGCCTGGGGAGTGTTGGGCTCCCTCCAGAAGGATTCACTTCAGAGGACAGCACTGAAGCTACAGCTCAGGGAGAGGGCCACATCTGATCAGAGCACAGGGGAGCAAAGGAAGAGGGAAGGAGAGAGAGTGAAACACATCCTGGCCCAGCAAAGCCGGAGGAGGATATTCCTGCTCAGAGCAGCCAGCACAGAGAGGACCGTAGGGCCAGCCCCACCATGAGTCAGGCGTCCCTCCATGACCCATAGCACTACGAGGGACAACACTGGAGGCACAGTGTGGGAATTGTGCCCAATCTGACCCCACCACTCTGAAGCAAAACACCACAGGCCTGCAACAGAGCAGCAAGGGGAGCGAAGCAATGAAATCCCCAGGGAATAGCAAATATAGGCTTTGGGGCTAGGGCGTGGCACCCCATCAAACTCAACGGGAAAACACTTCTAAAGGTCAACAAACTATTTATAAGCTTTTCTTAAACTATTTCTAGGCATTTCTTTTTTTGTCATGGGTTTGTTGCTTTTGTTGTAGCTTTGTTTTCTTGTGTTGCTTTGTTTAGCTCTGTCTTGTTTTTGTGCTTATTATTGTCTTTGCATGTCTATCTAGATAAGATAGGTGGGATAAATGATCCAGAGGGGAAAACAATGGACCGATGATTTGGGGGACATGGGAGAGGGAGACGTGGGGGTGGGGGTGGGGAGAAGGAAGTGGGTGTTAATAAACCCAGGGACAAGGGAACAAAAAGTGATCTAAAATCGATGTCGAGGAGGGCGTAGGATATCTGGTAGGGCTTGATCAAGCGCAATGTAACCAAGAGGAATTACTGAAACCTGAATGAAGGCTGAATGACAGTGGAACAAGAGGAAAGTAAAAGGAAATAGAGGAAAGAACTAGGAGGCAAAGGGCACTTATAGAGGTCTCAATACAGGCATGCACATATGTAAATATATATATAATGATAGGGAAATAGATCTATGTACATATGTTTATATGTTAGGTATCAAAGTCATAGACAGACATTGGGCCTCTACTCAAGTACTCCCTCAACACAAGAACACTTTGTTCTAATAATCTGGCATTCTGTGATGCTCACCTTCCCAACAGGATCGCTGAAGACAAAATGGGTACATAAGCAAATGTGGTCAACAAAACTGGTGGCTGGCTATCAAAAGATATAGCATCTGGGGTCTTAAAGGCTTGAAGATAAACAAGCGGTCATCTAGCTGAGAAGCAACAAAGCCCACATGAAAGAAGAACACTATCCTGTGTGATCATGAAGTGTCAATGGAATCAGGTATCAGGCATCAAAAACCCAGAAAAATCATATCATTGTGAATTAGGGGGAGTGCAGAGTGGAGACCCAAAAGCCCATCTGTAGACAATTGGACATTCCCTTACAGAAGGGTCACAAGGAAGCGACAAGCCAGTCAGGGTGCAGTATGAAACAAACAACTTTCCTCTAGTTCTTTAATGCTTCTCTCCCACCCACCCCTCACTATCATAACTCCAATTCTACTTTACAAATCCGACTAGACCAGAGCATGTGCCCGGGTACAGATAAGAGCTGGAATCACAAGGAATCCAAGACAGATAAACCCCTCAGGACCGATATTGAGAGTAGCAACACCAGGAGGATAATGGTAAGATGGAGGAGGAAGAAAGGGGGAACTGATCACAATATAACTGATCACATATAACCCCCTCCCAGAGGAATAGACAACAGAAAAGTGAGTGATGGGAGACATCGGTCAGTGTAAGACATGAAAAATCAATAATTTATAAATTATCAAGAGTTCAGGAGGGAGGGAGGGGGGAAATTGAGCTAATACCAAGGGCTCAAGTAGAAAGCAAACGCTTTGAGAATGATGATGGCAACAAATGTACAAATGTGCTTGACACAATGGACGTATGGATGGACTGTGATAAGGGCTGTACGAGCCCTCAATACAATGATTAAAAACAACCACCACAAAGAATGAAGACGTATGGAGCCTGCAGCATTCCCGTGCTGAGGAGCGGAGCGGAGCGGAGCTCCAAGCCTGGTCAGGAGGCGGGAGGGAATTGGCTCGGTAGCTTTCTGGCGGACATGGGAGTTCTGGTGCAGGCGCGGGAGCAGCCCACAGGCACCCTTCCCAGGTGGTCACTCTGGGTTCTACGCTGGTTCTTAGTGCTGGAGGGTCAGTCCTGGTGCCGCCCCCTGGAGCTACTGCCGGAAAGAGGTGAGGGCAGGGGCACGGCACCCACCCAAAACTCCAAACCCACAGCCGTGGAGTCCAAAGCGACCCGATGGGACAGAGGAGAACTGGTCCCTGTGAGTTTCTGAGACGGTAACTCTGCGAGACTAGCAAGCGTCCTTGAACTCAGCAGCCCAACGCTTAACCACTGCGCCACCAGGGCTCCTAGCACGGGAAGTGGGAGAAGGCCAGAGATGGGCTAAAGAAGGGAGCCACAGGCACCGCTCACCTTCCTACCCATTGCCCCCACACGCCTTCTCTCCCGGCCCCGGCACCAGGACCCCTGGGTCCGTGGGAGCGCGGCCCCCCCAGCCTCGAGCTTGGCCCAGGAGGGCCTGGAAGCGCCAGCACCCCTTGGCGGGGCGGGGCTGGTTGGCCCTGGCGCTCAGACCCTTCGAGCTCACGGGGCGGCGGGAAGGGAGGATGAAGTGTCTCCATACCGTTCTCGGAGTGGGGAGGGCCTGCGGGGGTGAGCGGGGGGCGGTCTGCGCCCGGAGCCCCTCCGGGAGGGCTGGCGGCCGCTTCAGCCGCTCCGCTGGCGTGCGCCTCCGGGGGGCGCTC